CAACACCGCAAAACTTTAATTAAGTAATGTACATATGTAATTTTAATCTCAGTATTCTGAAGAAGGCTCGAAGTACCGAGTCGAAAGCTCAATAAAAGCTCAATATATATGATGGTATTGTGTGCGCACGTCCAAATTTTCCCGCCAAGAATTGCTTCCTGTGGCAACACTTCGAGAATAGCTCACATATCCTGTTCAACAATCGTTTCTTGTCACCTTTCAAGATTTCCAGTTTCTCTTGGAGGCATAGGTGCAACCAGGGCGCTTATATGGTTGCAACTCTTTGCGCCGCTGCGATAGGATGATGCTTGCATCAGGATGGACCACTTGATGTTGAATATACGTTTCTTGTTTTTCAAGTTCCAAATGTGCTTGGACAGCTCCAAATGTGATACGAGCTATGTTAAATCCACTGAAAAACAAGAAACGTAAATTCAACACCAAGTGGTCCATCCTGAAGCAATCATCATCCTATCGCAGCGGCGCAAAGAGTTGCAACCTATGCTTCCAAGAGAAACTGGAAATCTTGAAAGGTGACAAGAAACGATTGTTGAACAGGAGATGTGAGCTATTCTCGAAGTGTTGCCACAGGAAACTAAAACTGTCTGTACCAGTGTGGGTAGTACCAATGTGAAAATGCTGTGCTGAGTGGTTATATTACTACCTTGAAAAATAAGCAGAAACTCGACGTTTCGAGCGAAGGCCCTTCGTCAAAGAACTACTAACTCTTGAAGGCCCTTCGTCAAAGGGCTACTAACTCTTGACGAAGGGCCTTCGCTCGAAACGTCGAGTTTCTGCTTATTTTTTAAGGTAGTAATATAACCACTCAGCACAGCATTGCCACAGGAAGCAATTCTTGGCGCACGCAATACCATCACGCAAGTAGCCTAACGAACTCGCATGTAATCATACAGGAATTTCTTTATCGAGACTTAAACATCGTCGCCTGAGGATTGCATTGAGCGTGAAACTCGGTGTTGTGATTATATTTTAAGTTAACAAATGCGCTCTAACCAACTGAGCTACAGAGCCATTTTTCGACTCGTTACATCATTGCTTGTGGGAGTCTTACTTCCTGTTTTCGAGCTATGCGAGCGATGGATGGAAAGATACATTTCTAGATAGAGTGCTATAGATCCCCATTAAACTAGACACATATGCCACGTCGCAAAATATGCTTTCATGTATTTTATTTAAGTTAATTAAAACGTATTTTATTTAAACATTATTTAGATACATTTACCCCAAGAGCTTAGAGCTCATTGAGGGGGGTTCAATAAAACGTATTTGAATAGTGGAAAGTTTAACGCTTATCATATAACCTTTAATATTCTGTCAATCTAGAGCTTGAAATGTCCCCTGTAAGTTTCTTTTCTGTAAAATTGAAACAGTGATAGCCATTCATCTCTGCGGAAGTACCCTTTCAATGCAATGTTTCAAAACAAATTTTGTAGTACTGACATCCCTTGCCTTCATTAAAAAGAAGTCTATTTTCATTAAGGTAATCCGTATTTTTACTTACTTACATTCGGATTTCAGTAGGAAGTATGCAAAACCCAATAGTCACAACAATAAATTCATTTGCAACGTTTCATTAAATATTCATGTTTACATATTAATCTATCATCCTGAGTTGATCCTGAGTGGAAGAGTCCAAAGCTGAGTGGGAACTGATAAGATACAGCCTAGTCCAAGTCGTTCTGTTACAGCCTAGTCCAAGTCGTTCTCATACAGCCTAGTCCAAGTCGTTCTCCATGTAGTATGATACTGGGACCTAGGTGTGACGTCACAGCTGAAGGTGCTTCAGAACGGCAAGGAGATTTCAGTATTTTCAATATGGCGGATAATTTGTATATACAAAATAACCTTATAAATGCAACAATGTTCGTTGATCATATTCGATGTCTACATGCATCACCAAATTTTAAACTGTATCAAAAATGTGCTCAATTACAAAAATTATATACAAATTTATGACACTAAACATTAGTAGAACAAAACAGTTTTGTCGTATAATCCCTGATGTTATTTATATACTTGCAAGCTGTGAACTACACTAGACCATACACAACTACGCTTTCTACTTGACACGTTTAAGTAGCTGAGGAGATTGTAAATATTTGCATAACATGACTGTGTTGTCAAAAAAATTTTAGTTCGAGACTCAGCATAATTATCAAGTTTGTGGACAGCATTCAATGGCTCTATATTCTCGTAAACACGAATCAAATTTAGCCCGTTATTCCATTTTGACCGTATGGTAGCGAAACGTAGCCTATTTCTTTGTTTCGAGAGCATTAGAGCAAAACTAATGACTTAACTATAAACACAAAGGAAAGTTCTATAACATTTTCTATTTACAAATGCGGTGTGCTTGGTAACCAGGCCAGGGACCACTTTTTTAAATCAGGGACCATTTTACTAAAATCTGCTAGGCTGTCGCACTGAAGTGCTCGGCACAGCACATCCAGGCATCAACGTATTTAAATATATCAAAGCAGCGTACAGAGAGAGAGAGAGAGAGCCTGGGACTAGGCTGGATAATATATATATATATATATATATATATATATATATATATATATATATATATATATATATATATATATATATATATATATATATATATATATATATATATATATATATATATATATATATATATATATATATATATATATATATACGACAATGACCAAAACTTGCCTTAGCCAACAGCACATAATATTACGACAAAGAGATGGCTACGTATCGAAGAATTTATTGAAGATGACTAAAGTAAAGTATACAAATAATAAATTTTCGGCCACTTGACACGGAAGGAAGGCCGTGTCAAGTGGCAGAAAATTTATTATTTGTATACTTTACTTTAGTCATCTTCAATAAATTCTTCGATACGTAGCCATCTCTTTGTCGTTATATATATATATATATATATATATATATATATATATATATATATATATATATATATATATATATATATATATATATATATATATATCGGCATGCTGAATTAATATAAACGAGTATGTTTATGACATTCAGTATATATTCCATAATTTCCAGTCTTAAATTCGTCTGACCGTGTAGCTCAGTTGGTAGAGCGTCGATCTAGTAATTCGAAGGTTCAAGACCCAGCCGCGGCAGACAACATCTTATAATACACACTCGTTCATATTAATTCAGGAACATAGTGTCGTTCCTAAAGTGTTCCTCATGCACTTTTCATTTTAATATTTGTTCAAATATATCAGTGTGTTAATGCGTGTTTGTGTTTTTAAATATATGTTATTACTAATTGTTGTTTTTCTTGGGTTGGTCTCAGTGTGGGATTCTTGTCCTGTTGACTATACCGTCAACCTTATTTTTCCTTCATCCATGTGTATATTCCTAAATTTAATATATAATTATTTGTTCATGTATACAAGGTTGTAAAGCTAATAAATAAATAAATATCATTAAACTAAACCTTAACTCCTAACTATACCTAACCCTGTTCTTCTAGAAATTCAACCCATTTTAATTGTATAATATACAGTACCAAACCAAAGACAGGGTGTTACTGTGTGCCAGGATGTTACGATTTTTTCCATACTCTTGGCAATAGACATGCATGGTATGATGGTCTCCTATGGCAGCACTACTCTCGTGAAATTACATTCTCTTTTTAAACTGAAAAATGTTCTTTTGTTTAGTTGATATAGACTATAACGGAAATGATTAATTGGATGAGTCGTACAGTCATAATTCATAAATACTGTACACTGATACACATGTGTAAGTTGTACATTCCATGCAAGGGGGCCGTTAGAGCGCCGCACCTCCCCCAAATTTTTCCACCTCCCGTACCATTTCCACCATGGTAATGTACAAATTTAGAGAAAGCGTAACGTTAATTTATTTAGCAGAAAGTTTCGATCCGTATACCCTACAAATAATATATTGTTAATTAAAAAGTTCGCTAACATAGTTATGCGAGCACACAATTTTTAAAACTTACCCCTAGTTTAGATGCCATTTTATCTGCACAAATCTCAGCAAAGTCTCTTCCCAAAACACCAAAATATAAACCATAGAATAATGTTAATAACCCAACCTCAGCCGCGGTATCAGGATGAATAGTAAACATCATTGACACTCCGAATAAAGTTAACATTATTATAAAATAACCAATTAAACTTAACGCTGTCGTTCCCTTATGAATAAAATAAAACCACTTGTATACCAATCTATAAAACGAATAAATGGATTGAGATATATTTTTCTTATTTAGTGGACATGATTATCTTGGGTTTTTTGTTTCTCAGTGGACATGATTACCTGTGTTTATGGTTATTAGTCTATGGAATACTTGTCCCTAGTGTCATGGTATTGTTCATTGGTGGGTCCAAGGTAGTGTTCTGAAATACAACCCGGGCAGGGAGTTCTAGACTCTGAGCAAGTCCGTACACATTTGAAACGTTGTATTGCTTGTATTTGAAACGTTGTATTGATGGTCACGGGGACGCCAAAATAACCAAATACGCCTTCGGCGGATCAAGGTGGAATCATCTTTGAAATAAGGTTTAATTATCTCAGATTGTTGGGTCATGAGCAAGTTTAAGTTAGCAAATTGTTGGACAGGTGGACAGGTGGACAACTCGAAAACATATTTTGTCCACCTAACTCTCTCGTTAAATTCTGCTTTTTTATAACTCCAATACAGATTTAATACTAAATAGAGATTCAATAGATTGGACTTGAACAAAAACAGTCAAAGCCATAAAGCTTTCTACAGGCTGACCTGAAATACAGGCTTTGAAGTAAAGCAAAACACAGAAAGAATTACCTTGGTGTAGTTGGCGCTAGAGGTTGTCTTGTTGCTTTAAATACAACATACGCAGTCAATAATGAAAATACAGTCCAAATAATGAGCATTCTAAACCACTTCAAACGAATGTTAAAATATAATGGGATAAGCCAAACACCACATAACGTAACCATCTAAAAAAACGAGAAACAATTTAATTAGTAAAAACAATTCGTTAAAACGACCAACAAAATATGGCTGTCTCAGATTCATTTTAAATCTGAGATATCCATTTTATAAGTTGATTTACAGTTTGTATTTGGGTATATGCCATTGTATATGGAATAATTATATCCAGCACAATACAATACAATACAATACAATACAATACAATACAATACAATACAATACAATACAATACAATACAATACAACACATTACAATACAGTACAACACAGCACAGTTCAATACAGTTCAGTACATCACAATACAGCACTGTGCAGTGCAGTGCAGTGCAGTGCAGTGAAGTGCAGTGAAGTGCAGTGCAGTGCAGTGCAGTGTAGTCTTTAGCTGCATAAGGCCCATTGAGTGCAAAACTACTGTTTGAGAAAATTGAAGGTATTCTCATTTCAGATTCAAATTTAAGAATTTGAATAAATATATCCTAATAAATAACATACATGAGTAGTAGTATTTATCAAGTCTTCGTAAATTTAAAAATGGTCCAACTCGCGAAATTGGGATGCAGAAAGTTTCCTTTCTTTGAGATATGCAACCGCCATTTAGGTCAATGTTCGAAAAGTCAAAGAATTATCAATCGCAAAGCGTATCTGTATATTTTTGTTCGCAATAATGCAAGAAAGATGTCAAATGACAGGTATAAAGATCGGATCTTTATTGAACAGGAATAAGTAAATCTATATAAAGTCAGTAGGCTACAACGCACGATTACATGCCAATTTGAAGTTGGATTAATTTTTTTATATACACCGCAGCTGCAGTACAGCGATTGGTTGTACGAAAACCGGACAGTGTTATCCACTGCATGGTTGTGATTTTTTCAAGCTTTCTTACATTGGTCACAGACTGGAATAACCCACATTAAAATTTAGTATAAAATTCAAGTTGTCTTTTGTTAATTGTGAAACGCATGCATGTCCGTAATTTTATACTATTAGTTAATTTGAAGCATTTTTACAATGGTTGAAGAGATTTCTATACGATGGATATAATTTACATATCACTAAACACATATACTGAACATGCATGTAATGAACTTTTGATAACCAGAAATATCATTGACACTACACCTGGTAAGACCTGAAATGGCGTTTCTTCCATTGAACAAGCAATATTTGAGCTACAACTAAAGTCGTTAGTAAAATAAGGATCATCTCTAAATGCATAGTCTCGTGACCTTTGTGTTTTGCATGAAGTTTTGCGTGTTCAAGCCTAGAAAAAAATAAAACATGGTCATGGAAGTTACTTATCAACAGCAAAAAGGACTAAATTTGCCTTTTCATGTGCAGGGTTAATGTCTACTTATTTTGACTAATTGACGTAAAGTAGATGATCTATCACAAGAATTTCCTTTTCTTCTATAATACATACGTTATTTCTATATTTTTGCTCTGGGACAATCTAAGGCTACGTTTAAGTTCAATGCGACGCTAATTTATTGAGGTCGTAAACATTGCAAAGCTCCAGTATACCCTGGTTCCACACTATTATTTTATATAATCAGATTCCTAGGTTTTTAGATAAGAATAAATAAAATACCAAAACCTTCGTTTGGAAAACGTTCTATACATGCTTTGTTTGCGTTGTACCACCTGCACAACATTATCTTTTACGAAGCAAAGTTTCTCTCAAACCTAAAATTTTAAAACTAAACAACTGTTGGATGGAGTAACGTAATTCTTTATACTATAAAAGGTATGTTGAAAATTAGCCGGCGCATGCATGAGAAGTTTCAGTATATAGTTTTGTTTAATTAATGGACATGGAAACAAACTTTTGGGACTGTAAATACACTCATCGAGCAATCCGTTCAACAAGCTACATTTCCTCTTCTAAGATCATATGATCCCGCTTACCGGGACGTCTCGCTTACCGATGATCTCGCCGCCTATCTATTTTCCTATAAAATTTTGCATTGTGTTCATATGAGAAAGCGAGCTGGCCCGCTTGCCGAGATCTCGTTTGAATTTGCCGAGATCATAGGTAGGCGGGATGAAAAATTTTCCATATGAACACGCCAGCCCGCTTACCGGGATGAAGTGAAACAAGTCTTGCCAGTTTAATTTAACACTTTTTACTTGGTTTTATGTTTGTTTTGTAAACAAGTATTAAATATGCACCTGAAGAAATACTTTTTATTGTAAATAAACGAAGAAAAACACTAAAATGGCTAAGTATTTGTGTTGCTTGACTGAAATGTAGAAGTTTTGCATACGCTAATTATAGAACTACAATGTAATTTCATCTCGGCAAGCGGGACGAAATATTCCATATGAACGCACGGAAATATTCGTCTCAGTAAGCGAGACGTCCCGGTAAGCGGGATCATATGAACAGGCCCTAAAGCGAATCGAAGCGCTGGAGACAGAGTTAACAAAGGTCACAATAAGAGCGAATGAAAATGAGCAGTACTCAAGAAAATATAACTTAAGTATTATAGGGTTGGTCGAAACCGATAGTGAAGATTGCGTTAAAGAGGTAGTTCAGTTTGTAGATGAAAAGTTGCTTCTAAATATCGTTACGGAAGAAATTGATCGCGCACATCGCCTTGGCCCAAAGATCTCAACCCGGTCAAGACCGCTAATTGTAAAATTCAAATCATATGGTACAAAGGCTGCAATTTGTAAACGACGAAAAGATCTGAAAGGCACACAGTTTTATATAAATGAAGACCTGACCAAGTACAACGTCAATCTGTTCAAATACGCTCGCGAACATAATACTCATATTAAATCTGTCTGGACGACGGACGGTAAAATATTAGTTCATAATAAAGACGATAAAATAATTCGAATTCATCACATGGATGATTTTGAAAAATTTAATTTGGTCTAATTAATCCCATATTAAATGACTCAGATTTCAATATAAGGACTGGCTTGTAAACTAGCAGTTATTATGACCGCACCTATAGTCCTATACCTAATATGTTTATAATAGGCCTACTTGACTTTAACACTCTATTAACTTTATTTATCTTTGTTCTGGAAGAACGTTGTTTAGGTTCTTCTTGTGTCGTTCTTGCGTGTAATATTATTATTATAAGTTTTCGAGCAGCTGTGCAGACTGGTAAGTTTTATACTATGCCTAATGGAGGTTAGTATTGTTTTTTTACAAACAAAAATATAAAAACCAGTGTATTGCAAATTTGGACGAGACACGGATGGGGTCTATGCATTTTGTTAAAAATCTTTTTATCAATTTTGTTAATAATGGCAGGAGATATTGAATTAAATCCTGGCCCAAAAATGTCATGCTTAACAATTGGACATATAAACGCTAGAAGTTTAGCTAACGAAGAGAAATTTGAAGAAATTTCTTCGTTTATTTTGGACAAGAGCTTTGATCTATTCGCGGTATCTGAAACTTGGCTTGACAGTAAAAGTTCTGATGAATCTTTACACATTCCAGGCTATTATTCTATCATTAGAAAAGACAGGTCTGGTATGCGTGGTGGCGGTCAGTGTTGCTTTATACTATACAGGGTGTATAAAAAAAAACGCAACCTCGGAATTTCCTAAGAAACCACTTTGCAATTCTTAAGCATAAAAGATTTTAGGCCCCTGGGAAATGAAATCGAATTGCTAATAGATCATATTACTGTTGTTGTGCATTAAATGCATGCATAAATTTTGCTTTATGCACTCGCGTGTGCAGTAATTTTGACAGTTGTGCTATTTTAAATTCCCAGGCGCCTGAAATCTTTTGTCTTTAAAACAATGTCGATTTCTTGGGAAATTCCGAGGTTGCGTTTTTTTTATACACCCTGCATGTATGTAGCACAATCACTTGCATTCAAAAGACGTAATGACCTGGAAAATATGGATTTAGAATTACTTTGGGTTGAATTTAAAATAAGTAACCCTGTTATGTGGGGTGTGTTACAGACAACCTAATAACTCTCTAGGAGAAACAACATTTTTCCTAGATTCTTTCCAGAGTGTTATTGATAAAATTCGATTAAACCAACATTTACCTATGGTGATTGTGGGTGATCTAAATGCCCACTATAACCGAAATAAGTTACTAAGTACCGCGTTTGGTAACCGTTTTTATCATTGGCTCGAGTGCAATGCCCTGTCCCAAATAATCGATGAACCAACTCGTGTGACATACAACACAGCTACAATATTAGACGTCATAATCACTAATTGCCCTAGATATTTTGTAAACCAGGGAACATTTAGTCCACCCACGAACTGCGATCATTCCTACATTTATGCAAAAATGAGTATTATACTGTATATGCTAAACAAAGAGCTTTTAAAAGACACATATGGGATTTCTCCAACATATTAATATGACAATGCTAAATGAAGATCTTTCGAATATCAATTGGGAAGATTGTACTAGAGATTCTATCCAGATTGATGATGTTTATGGAAATTGTTTCGGCATTTTCGACTTATAATTGATAAATACATCCCAAACAAAACAGTTGTAATACGACCTTGGGACAAACCTTGGCTGATATCAGCGGTACGAACTGCAATTCGAAAAAGAAATAGATTATTAAAACAATTTAATAAAAGGAAAACTGACTTTCTTTGGCGCCGTTACAAAAATCAGAGAAATTATACAACGTGGTTAATTCGTGAAGCTAAAACCTAGTATTATTGTAAACTAAATAATAAACTATCAGATCCTTCGTTAGGTCAAAAAAAGTGGTGGAGTTACATTAAATTCACTCTTAATAATAAAAATAATCATTCCTCCATACCACCTATTAAAGAGGGCGCTGAGATTGTTTTTGACTCGAAAGAAAAAGCGGACTTATTCAATGACTACTTTGTTAATCAATCTAGAATTAACGATAGTAATTGTCAGTTGCCGTTATTAACTTATTTCCAGTCTGATAAAACATTATCAATAATTCATACAACAGAACAAGAAGTTCTGATGTTACTGGAGAAGGTTGATATTTCAAAAGCTTGTGGTCCTGACGGTATTGGAAACAAGATCCTTAAACTAAGTAGTAATGGCATTAAAAAATCATTTACAAATTTACTTATTTAAGCTTTCAAAAAGGAGAATATCCCACTGAATAGAAAAGAGCCAACGTAAGTCCTATACACAAAAAAGATGACCACCAATATAAAGAGAATTACCTCCCATATCCCTTCTACCATCTATTTCAAAAATATCAGAAAAAATTGTATTTGCAAGGCTGTATGAGTTTTTATTAGAAATACATTTCCTTAGCGATTTTCAGTCTGGATTCAGACCTGGTGATAGTACTGTTAACCAACTGACCTATATTGTTCATCTAATTTATCAAGCCTTGGATATGGGGAAAGAAGTACGTATGGTCTTTCTTGATTTCACTAAAGCATTTGATAAGGTATGGCATAAGGGTATACTTTACAAATTGCAAACTCTTGGGCTTAAAGACCCTCGTCTAAGTTGGTTTCGTAGTTATTTAACAGACCGAAAACAAATAGTTGTTATCGATGGGCAGACCTCGAGTTGGTTAAACACTGAAGCTGGTGTCCCACAAGGCTCTGTGCTCGGGCCATTGCTTTTTCTTATATATATTAACGATAATGGTGTAGACATTGTATCTAACTGTTTTCTTTACGCTGATGACACATCTTTATTTGACATAACTGACGACACAACAAGTTCTGCTTCAAAATTAAATTTTGATCTTGATAAAATTAGTCAGTGGTGTAAACAATGGCTAATGGAGCTGAATCCTTCCAAATGTGAAAGTATTACATTTTCAAAAAAACCTTTCTGGACAAACACATCCCACACTACATTTAGATGGCAATACTTTACGAGAAGTTAATTCTCATATTCATCTAGGATTGAAACTTACGTCAAATTTACATGGAATCATCATATCCAAAGTATACATAAAAAAGCTAGCAAGATGATGAATCTCCATATAAGCTCCATAGATCAACCCTTATCTCATTATATAAAAGTCTTGTTAGACCTCTGACGGAATATGCTGGGACGGATGCACTGAAAGCGAAGCAAATCTTTTAGGGAATACAGAACGAATCAGCTCGTATAGCTACTGGAGCAATGAAAGGAACAAACAGGGTACGATTATTAAACGAATTATGCTGGGAAGATCTAAAAATAGGTACGCAGTGCGTACATGTTGCATGCCACCAAAACCATGAAACCTCATGACTCAGAATACTATACAGAACTCTATCTCCATTGTTTCCTGCGTAAGTGCTATTCGTCATGATTCGTCACTTGGCAAGTACTGGAAACAGAAGTAGTCACCCCCTGGCACAGACACGATTGACACCCCTTAACACGCCCCTCATGAAAAACAGCTGATGTTGATAAGCGTGTGAAAATAAAGTGTTATGTATATATGTACAGAAGGTCGACTCGAGTAACCGCTGCCAGGTGTGCCAGCCAGTGCGCGCCCGAGAGGCATTCCCTCCCTGGCAGTCCGCCATTTTGAATATTATCAGGGGGATTGAATGCCTCCCAAACGCGTACCGGCCTGGACCATGGCGTCAGCATTTTGATGACAAATACACTCACACCAAAATCATTGGAGAATCATAGGAAAAACCAAGAAATCAGGCTAGCTTCTGTATGACCCATTCTGTGCCCTGGTTATGATGCGCTATCGCTTATAACTTTTGGTACAACTGGCCTGAAACTTAAAATATTGATTCAATAAGTTTAATACCAATATATTTATTGAAAAATAGCTATTATGTCAAAATAAGAAAACTTAAGATTCTCACGCGAATATGCAATATGTTTTTATGAGCGATTGTTCATCGGTAGTTGCAAGCGACGGTAATATAAACAAGGTCAATGTTTTATCGAAAGCGATCAGGACTGTTAGGTTTCCTTTTAGTATTTTATAACTAAATAATGTTATTTCCTTCAAATATGGCTTTATGGTAGCTTTACTGAAAGTATAAAAACCCATGGAAACGGTGAATTACTATAGATTGAAAATAATTATTAAACTATGATTCAAATTATCGACGTAGAATCTATGCGTAGAATGCTATTTCGTTGTATCAAATTTCAACAGTATTAAATAATCAGAATTTCGTTTGATATTTTTCATAAATTTCATGTTATTTACAAAATGTACTGTAGTTTTGAAGTTTTGCAGACAATATAATCAGTGTGAGCACAATGACTCCGTTTCAATTTGAGCATATATATAAAAATGAGTATTTTGATAGCGTATAGGCATAGCCTTCACGATATAAATATTATAAAACGGCTGTTAAATAACCAATGCGAGCACAACGGCTCCAAAATCACAACAAATAACAGAATATAAGGTAAGCTAAAAACAATAAAGCTTTGCCTACCTCGATTTATTTTTCTGAAGCGCTCAATTATGTAAATTTTCGGCAAATAATCAATATTTCTTTGCGTTTCTTCGATGAAAACCCAACATGAAAATGCTCGTCGGAAAAACTCGTTTTTTGTCGTATTTTACGAATCTGCCACGTGACTGGTACGCTCACCGCTCACGACGACACAAAATTTAGAGCTATATGAAAGTTGCAACAAAAACTGGAAGATTTCTACATAAACTATCGTTGCTTTATAAAATAATAAATTGCCTCACTCCATCCTACCTTCGTGATCTTTTATCTCCATATGTCCATCAGAGATCTGATCACCACCTTAGATCTAATGAAAATTTTACCTATATTCCTACTAGTACCGAACGTTTTAAAAAATCTTTTTTCCCATCAGTAATTGCAGCTTGGAATGAACTTGATAATAACTTGTGTAATGTAGAATCATTATCATTATTCAAAAGTAAACTACGTAATACATTTTATGGAATGAAATATAATACTCTCTACAACACCTCGTTAAATCGATAAAGTTCAATACTACATAGTAGACTTTGTCTAGGTCATTGTGCGTTGAATTCTTATCTATATAGTATTAACTGTGCAATTTCTCCATATTGTAAATGTAGATGGGGAATAGTGGAATCAATTATTTTTGCACTGTCCTCAATATGCTGCTCAGCGACAATGCTTGCTTTCCTCGTTTGCACAGTTGCTCCACGCTGCGTGGTTGAGCTTATTGGAAGATCAGATAGTTGAAACATTTCTATATGGTTCAGAAATACTTGGTTATGAAGAAAATCAAATCTTGATGCGGAATGTTCAACTGTTTATTCTCCAAACTAAGCGATTTATTAGTTGAATTGAATATTAATACGTAACAACTTATCTTTAGGTTTTGAGATTTCTTCACTGAGCTTAACTATACTTCTTTTTCTTTATAATTATTTTATTATGTTTGTGTATACCTTTTTATTTAAAAACGATGTACTCCATTGTTTTAAATAAGTCAACATGATCTCCCTCGATGAGCCTAGCTCTTGGAGAAAATGTTGAGAATAAAATATGTTTAAATAAAAACAAACGGCAAAACGGAAACGTGCAAATATATGACTGTAATATAAGTTTAATATGGATCCGCAGTAACTGGCCTCAACTGTAAAATTAAATGTTTTATGTTCATCAATTTTCCGGGTGAGATTTAAAAACAACAAATTGGAAAAAGAAGCCAGCTGGGAGCCGAGTTGCACTTGACACAGACTGTCTTAACCATGTACGCGCATCGTCAGGATCGTAAGTTGCGACCAGGCCCGAGTGGTAATATTCCTTTAGCATAGCTATGAAAGTTTGAAGGGATGTTGATTTGCGAGGGATTTCATTTGGCAGCGCATTCTATACCCTTGTCGACTGTATCAAGTATGATTTACTATACGTCGATGTTCAACACCGTCTCTCTTCTAAGGTGGAACTATCAATTATACTCGAGGATTGATGATCTTGAAGAAGAATACCATGTCCAAATACTCATGCCGGTAAGTTAGCGGAATTAAATTAGTTTGAATTATTCTTTCCTTGTATGTACGTCTGTTCGCAACGAAATGGCAGATGAAGGATATATTTAGTGGCACATCTCTGAACTCTTTAGCGCTTTAGAATATTTATAGTGTTTAGCGCTTTATAAATGAATAAATTTAGCCAAATAAATCGTTCGTCGTAGTGGTGATTGCTTTTACAAATCTAGTCGTTCTTTTCACATAACCAAGGATCGTGTTGGCTTTCGTGGTCTGTGTTTAAACTTTCTTCTTCCATGATATCCATCTCCCAGGTCTCTTTCGTGGTTGCAATGTTCGAGTAGTGTTTTGCCTATGAAATATGAGGTCACAATTGGTTTTCTTTTCTTGATATCGTTTGAACCTCGCATTTTCTCTCGTTAAATGACATATCAGAAGAAGACCAGGCTTCGACATTGTTAAAGTCCTGTTGTAGAAGCGAGTTATCTGTTATGTTGGATACATGCTTGAACAGTTTGGTGTCGTCGGCAGCCCTTGAAATTCGCGGCGGCATTCGGCAATTGCCGACGTAATTGCCGACGTGAATAGCGAAAATAGCCTATCACGACGGCACTTTTTTGCCGACGTGAATAAATTATACGATATCGGCAAGGAATTGTTTATAATCGACGGAGAAGCAAGGTTGCTTATCATCTTGATCGGCAAGAAATATATTTTAACCATTGTCCCAAAAACACATGATGTACGTTCAAAAGACGCAAACTTTTTTCGCTGTTATTATTTACTATAAAGCAAGTTTGCATGAAGTATTTTCGTCTCTTCAACAGTCTGCAATCCGAACCGCTGATCACGAACGTTTTTGTTTTGCCACAGGCTAAAAGGTGAGTACTGAGTAGCATTTTAAAATAAATTTTAGTTCATAATTGAAAATGCCGCTGTATTTTGCTGCGAGATACGGTGGCCGATAAGGGTCATTCACGCGCAAAAAGTGAAATCACGCCGCAATATCATGAAACACGCCAACAAATGCGCCATTCACACCACAATTTCACGATTCACGCCACAGTTTCACGATTCACGCCACAAAGAAACCGCTAACCAACCACGATCTCAATATTCATTAAATTCATTATATTTCCCGCCTTTTCCCACAACCGCATGACAGTATAAAATAAGCGTAAAGTCCGTAAACATGGCTGACAACGGCCAGTGTATTCAGTGTGGAGAAGCTCTCGTGGATTTCTTTTACTTTTGTTAGACAGCATGTGGCGGATCCGGTTAATCAGGACTCAAAGAGTATCTTAACTATGTTTGCACATCAGAAGGGTTAGAAAAGCCTACTGGTTGGAAATGTGCTCTGAACTTATACACAATTCTAAAACAAATAGCTGAACAAGTATAGATTTTAACAATTAATATAGTTTTTTATTGTTTGTATATTTTATATTAAAAACACAACACTTTCAGTCTAAAATTGAATAACTATCAATTTTGAACTAACCTTTAACAAATGTCACATTCCAAACTCTTCATATCAACTATAAAACTGTTTTTATACAGACAATTTTAACGTGAACAAAAAAGATTAATGTAAATAACAATAAGATTATTGGCCAAGTTACTTTAAGCAATATTTGCAATATATATGAATACTAAAACCATTTTCATTGTTTAAAAGCCGTCGTGCGATCGCGGTAAAAAGGCGGGAAATAATGAATTTAATCAGTATTGTGACAGTGATCGATCAGCGGTTTCTTTGTGGTGTGAATCGTGGAATTGTGGCGTGAATCATGCATTTGTTGGCGTGTTTCGTGTTATTGTGGGGTGATTTCACTTGTTGTGCGTGAATGACCCTTATCGGCCACCGTAGCGAGAAGAATGAAAAAATGAAATAATTATAATTAAGCAGTACCATCGGGCGTTTTTTTGGCGAAATAAAAGTAATTTTCAAAATAATATTAAGATTTTGTTTTGACTGCACAACTATTTTGTATAATCTACTGCAGTCTACAGTATAATCTACTGCAGATAAAAAATCTCGGACACGATTTTGGCTGAGTGAGACTTCTGGTCGTATTCTTTATTCTGTACTAATATGGTCTTACTTGCACGAATTATTTGCGATTTGAAGCTTAGGCCACTGGCAATACTCTGTAAATTAAAATGTTACACACCGGTACTTTGCTTTTCAATTTTATAGAAAGTAAATTTTACATAATTTTTTTGCGTAGTCACTTACAGGCATGGTTGGACTTTCAACTGCCAAAAAGTGGAACTTAAAATAATTTAAGTTTACATGTGGCGATGCAACTGATCCTGGAAAGGTCACAAAAATCGAATGTGTTGTCTGCAGCGAGTTTTACCATGAAAGTTTCACTTTCTCGCTGTTAACAACAAACCACTAAATTTCTATCAGCAACTTGTAAGGTTTGACAAAGATGTCTATAAAGTCGATTTAGGAACAGGCTACCTAAACAACAACGCCGCCCAAAAGATCCTACTTTACCTTTCTAAATCTGTCGTTGCAGAGCATATTACAGAGCCATTGAATAATGGAGAAAGGTTGTACTTCAATATTTTGTTCGACGGCTCGTCAAGTGCAAAAACTATGGATGAGAAAGAAGTCTATGTTATAAAAACATGCGACCAGGGAAAGCCAAGATTTGATGTACTAGCACTCCAACAACCAGAAGATGCTGATGGAAAAGGTCTTAAATCATCCCTAGATTGTGCCATCGACAAGGCTAAGTTAACCGTCGATCGAAAATTGCGTGAGATTGGTTTGGGGTCCGACGGTACAAACACAAACAAAGCACTGTACAGACTTGAAAAGGAAGAGATAGGTGACCACCTAATATTAGTTCTATGCGTATCAAACAAACTAGAACTTGCTATACATGATGCATTCAAGAAATCAAAATTAAATGACGCAGCTGAGGAACAACTGGTCGTAACATACTATCTTTTTAAGCGAGCAAATCTTAAATGGCGTCTGTTCAAAAGGCATGCATTGTTAATGAAGAAATCATCTCGCTGTTACAAGCGACCTTTTGGTACAAGGTGGGTTGCACATCAAAGTGATGTTCTCGAAGCTTTTTTGCATAATCTGGATCTACTTCTTGGCTACTTGAACAACCAAATCGCTGATCCATATAATACGACAATGAAGAAAGAGACTCCTCGTTTAGAAGGTGTCCTAGCCTCGTGCTCTGACACGATCACACTTATATTTCAATGTGTAAAAGTTGATCTTCTGAAGTTGATTAGGCCGACATCGCTTGTTCTGGAATCCGTCTCAATCTTATTGCCGGAAGCCATCACGACAATCGGCGTTACACTGAAGAAAGTAAAAAAGCTAATGCGGAAGTTGAATGAAAACGGGGTAGATGCTTTACGAGATGAGTCCTTATTTCCCACTCTGAAGAACGCGTTTTTACCATCACTTGATTTTGACGAAGAAGGTTTCAGTCTTGGAAGAAGCACTCGCAAAGATCCTGCTTACACTGGAGTAACAACATTTGCTGGGTACACCTTAAACCGTGGAAACCTAGAAAATGTGCTTAGCAAAGTTTATGATGATGTGATGTTAGTCCTTCCGGCTTTAGAACTTGCCCTGGACGAGCGCCTCTCATTTCTTGCCAATGATCCTATCCTTTCTTCAGCTGCAGTTCTGCTTGAAACAACAGCTTACCAAAACCGCGATGAAGAAGATTTGGTGAGTAGATGTGCCCCCCCATATGGCAAAATTTTCCCGCCATATGACGTCAGCATTTTTCCTGCCATAGGACGTCAACATTTTGTCGCGTGATCTTTTGAGATGGCGCCAGCAAAACGTATAAAAACGGGAGTTTTATATTTATTTTAAAATGGAAAGTTTATGTGATATGTTTGCAGCAATGAATATTTCTCAGGAGGTGCCAAACGATTTGATTGTGGATGAAGTATCTTATGAAGTGAAGAATGTTTGTGATTTGATGAATGCTGTGTTTTTCGAAGCGGTTGTTTGTGAAATTCGGAGATTATTGAAGGAGAAATGTCCAGGCTGCGAAGTCGATCATCCGAATCAGAGGAGACACGACTATATTATGTTGTCAGACGAGGAGGGATGGTTACTGCATGGTTTGGAAGCAGTGGAGCGTGTGATTGAGCGTGGAATTGTGAAGAAACAGTTTCTTGAAGCCATTCGAGTGATGAAATTGGAATATTACGAGCGTGCGAAAGAACATTATGCGAACTTGATAAAAGATTGTGAAGTAACACTTGATTTTTTGGGGGATTTGAGAGGAAGTTTTTCTGATTATGAACCCATTTTGAACTACCTAATGTATTGGAGCGAAGAACATTGTGCATAGGACACTTTTAATAAAAAAACATTTATTTATTTATAAAATTGTAAAAGATTTTTAACAGAGATGTTTTGTAAAACTACTAATGTTTTTTTGAGAACAAAGATTTTACAAATTATTGAGTTGTTCTCGTAGTTTATTTTCTAAATGTTTCTGATACGCTTTGTTATGATCCGTTTCGAGGGATATGAATGTTTCCTTTGTCCCTTTGACATAATAGGTGTATCTTGGCGGTGAGCTGAAATGACATTGAGCATAGGATTCCAGGGGGTTAGCTTGTGGATTCCATAAGTCTTGTAGAATACGTAGTAATGGTTGATTGTCTTGATATACTTGCAGTAAAGTGTAGACAAAGTTTTGATCCGATTCTTCTTGCAAACACATCAAGTGCTGTGTGAAATCTTTATGATTTTCTACATTTAGAATTTTGATAGCGGCCATGAATTTGTTCCATGTAGCTTGTTCTATAGTGTTGAACCTGTGCATTCCCCAAGTTTCGTATTTGTCCATCATTAGACAATCCCGTTTGTATACTTTACAGCCACAGCAGCGTTCATTGCATATTTTTTTAACCTCACATGCTACGTTCTTAGCCTAGATTACTTCCAGTAAGTGAAATATTGAACCAGCCATCATCAGAGTCAGTGTACAACTGTTTGCCGTGCTTTTTGACAGGTTTAAGATATATACTTTCTAGGCATTTGTCGCGTAACACATTTGTTCCATGTCGCATAGCGTTTGTTCCATGACCTTGTAGCGTAACGTTCCATGACCTTTGTCGCGTAACACCTATGATCTGGCCTAGTAAGTGTGACCTTGATCTTGGAAGCCAGCGCGGGCTTTGTGCACTTTTGGCGCCAAGACTGCATCCATATATGTGTGTGACGAGACATTTTGGGCCAGAAGCGAACAGCTGAGGCGACGAGCGAGAAGGCAAGAGCGAAGGAAAACAGAGCAAAAGGAATGGGGTATGGATAGCGACGGTAGACGAGAAAGGCACAATGAGAGACATAGGCAGTATCGGGCGAGGCGCAGGCAGCAAGAGGAGGAAAGGAATAGAGAGCTTGCGCATTTGCGCGAGCTCTATGGGGTTATGATGGATGTAAATTTTGAAGCTGTGGCCATATTCGAAATGTTAGCAAGGTACCGCGACCATCCTGAGGCGTTGGTAGAAGAAACGATTGTCCTGCGGGAGCGGGGGCTGCTCTAGGGAAGAAAAGCGAAAAAACAAGAAAAAAACCCGGCTCTTTTAAGAGCCACCAAATCTATGAAAGAATATGAGCAGTTCGAAATTGTGTATAATTTTTTATGTAGGTGAATTATTTGCAGGGGAATTTTTATGCAGGTAAATTGAATAGTTATAAGGAAATTTTTTACGTGTGTAAGTGTTTGTGAGATAGTTTTTTTAGGGCGAGCTAAGTATGAATATCACAGTATTCGTTTAAATTCTTTTGTTATTAAGCGTCCAGCGTCTTCTTCAGCCACATCGCAAATGCTTCGACCTCCACTTTGGCACAGTGTTGGTAGGCGGCGTTTTCGGTATGTTTCCCGCACGTTTCGAGCCAGACCAGCTGGTCGAAGAGCTTTTCAGCCTTGGGACAACCATAATCTTGTAAATCAAGCGCAAGAATGTTAAGGCGAGATAACAGGTCTCTTTCATATATTCCACCTTTGTACGCAATGGTTGACCTTGAGTTCTGACGTACATTTTCATACAGCTGAGAGATTATCTTAGGAAGATTGGAAAGAGGAAGGGCATCGACTCCAGCGGGCACACCAAAAGGTAATTTATGGATGTGAGTTTGTACATATTTGCATACTCTTTGGTCTTTGGGCGTCAGGTCGTTCCACTGTAGACCGGTGTTGAAAAAGAAGGATTGAGCTGTAGCGTCTCCAACACTCAGAAAACCCAATTCTTTACAGAAAAAACTTTTGTTGACAAAAAAACCATCCATATCTATAACCGCAGCAGTATTTGTAAGTTGTTGAGACATTTTGAAATGTTGAGCACTTTTCGACCCGCTTTATATAATTTTAATAGCGTTGTCGCATAGCACCTATCACGTGAAATTTGTCGCATAACTTTTTTCACGTGACACATGTCGCATAGCGTTCCATAACATTTGTAGCATAACACGTATGATTTGGTGGGTTGAGTTTTTGTATAAAAGGCAAGAAGTAAAATGTTTTATTTTAAAGTTATAACGATGGAGTGTTTGCACGGAAAAGCTGCTTCCAATTCAACTACAGACAAGGGTTCCTTTTGGTTTTGTGGACAGAAGCCCAGCTGTGGATTTCTATGTACAGAAGAGGACGGTTACCTGTTCCAGACAGCTCTGACAGCTTGGAGAGCCACAGGTTTGACGCAACCGATATGTGAGAGTCACCGAAAGCCCGCAAAGTTTCGTGTAGTTAAAGACATGCTGAAAAAATCTTATGGGCGACCATATTTTATGTGTGCAAGTCGGGAGAATCCTTGCTCCTTATGGATGTGGGCAGACGAGAAAGAAATCAAGAAACCGAATTGCTATCACAACGAAGAAGCGAGTCAAGAAACAAGGTCCCAATACGGGTAAAAAGTTCTTCTGTTGCTGCAACGAAAACCAGTGTGATTATTTTGAATGGGTTCCTGAGGAATTGCCAAAACAACCTGACACCATGGCACCTTTCGTACCATTGTTTTACAGTCGTTATTATCCGGATGCTCAGCAGAACTGAAACATTTATATAAACATTTAACGTATAATTAAAGAGCTTTGTATTATCATGTTTATGAATATATATTTGAAACGTTTTACACTGTGTGTTGTGTTCATTTACTCTTGTAATAGGGTCGGCCCAGAATCAGCGTGGGGAAAATGATATTGAAATGAGAACAATATCTCATCATGTCAAATATTTGTTTGAGCTTATCACATCTCAGATTTTAATACTACTACTATTAGTTTCGGTATTTATACAGCAAACACTACTGTTGCATTATGATCACGTTTTTTTTTACACATTCAGTGGTTCTCACACTTATGCATAGCTTTTGGATTGTTTATATGGTTACAGGAAAATTAACGTTTCATTATGATTAAGCTATTAAATGTCAATCGTATAAAACAGCAAACACTGAACCTAAATTAACAGTTAAACTACGTAGCAACCTGAGTTGTGTGAATAGTTCCAAAAAATTTTTTTACACTTTGGGCGCACTTCTTTTTGTATGTGCAAGCGCCACACGCTGTCGTGAAGTTTATGTATTTGGTCTTTTGGACTGTAATGGTTTAGGACTGGAAACGATCGAAGGGCTGTGGGAAACGGAAAGAGACTGGGTTTTGAGCATCGACTTTAGGAAGAACCATTTTGTTACGATTAACATAACGGAACTTCTGGAAGCGTTTCCAAACCTCATGCGTATAGACCTTCGCAAGAACCCGGAGCTCGACTGCAGGACCATTAGGAATTTAAGGATACGTACTAGGAGTGACTGTAAGTTCGTATCATTTGTTACATCGCATACATGATCTGACATTTATCGCGACTTATAGTACTGTTTAAC